AGAAGCAAAGGGGGGTTGTTCTTTGACTATTCTGATTGGCTTATTTGAAAGGGCTATTACCAATAATTGACTGGAGAGCTGTTGCCAGATCAGAGGAGGTAAGAGGTCATTTTGGCTCCGTTTCCCAGGGGACCGAACCAAAACATACGTATATGGGTAATTGTTCAGGAACTGAGTACGTGCATATGTAGCTGTTAGGTCCTTGGTTCCCAGGGGAGGAGGGGAAGCACTATGGCACGGAGGCTGAGAGGATTCAGAATTGTCAGAAATGGCTTCAGAATTGTCTTAAAGTCTTACAACACAATATGAGGAACTGTATTAAAGGGTTGCCCCATAAGGAAAGTTGAGAACCACTGGTCTAAAGTGATGGGATTATAGGTATACATCACCACACATGTGTTCATGCAATCAGAGGTTTCTCTGTCCTGCCCTGTCCCACAACCACTTCTAAATAATCATTCAGATTATTAATTACAGAATGTTTGACCTATACTTCAGATTTATTACTAACCAGCCCTTACATTTAAATTAATCCATTTCTATTAATCTATGTATTGCCATGTTGCCATGGCTTTTCCCAGTCTGCTGGCATCTTGTTTCTTGGGTGGCTGTCTCACGTCTCCTGCGACTCTGCCCTTCTTTCTCCCTGTATTCAGTTTCTTTCCAGCCTAGCTATAATCTGCCTTGCTATAGGCCAAAGAGGGTGTCCTCCATTATCCTCCACTGTAGCAAAAGGCCTGCTAGGATCCCAACAGGACTAATGACATTGTCAGTGCCAGCTCTCATCAGCAGATCCAAAAGCTGATCAAACATGGGCTGATCATCCACAGCCCGGTGACTTCAGCCCATGGCTTGGTGTTACAAAAACATCTTGCTTTGTTGGTCAGGGGGGCATCTAGACATAGTTAGGTAGAGAGTGCAGTCAGAGTTCTGATGTCCACTATCTGCTGGGTGGAGAGGATGTGGAGTGTGCAGTGGCTACTCAGGCGATATTGCTGTGAATCTGAGAGCTGATTGAGAGCTGTGTCCCAGCCCATCCTTTCAGGGAAAGGAGAACATACTCAAGACAAATTTTCAGAGATAGACCAACAAGCTGAAGCTAGACAGCCTGCCAGAAGTTCTTGGCCATCCTCACACAATGCAGCCTGCACGAGGAACACCTTGAGGCCAGGGAGGAGATCCAAGATTGGAGGTACATACTTGTAATCAGGAGTCAAGGCCATCTCTTGGCTACACAGTGAATTGGAGGCCAGCTCAGGTTATGTGAGACTCTGTCTCAAAACAAATGAAAAGGACTCTGTCTAAGAAAGAAAAGGAGGAAAAAAAAAAAAAGATGCCTTTCTCCTTTCTGTATGTGGCTATAGTAGTAATACAGGTAAGCCAGTAGACTAAAACAAGCTTTTATTAACTTTAAGACTCGTGTGGGGAAGCTGAGGATTAGCTCAGTTGGTCAAGTGCTTGCCTAGCATGAGTTCTACATTCACTTCCCAGCACCGCATAAACTGAGTGTGCTGGTGAGTGCTTGTGATCCCAGCACTGGAGGTGCTTAAAAATTCAAGGTCATCTTTAGCAGTTAGGCTAGTTGCAACCAGCCTGAGATACACAAGGAGACAGGGTTTCTCTGTGTAGTCCTCGCTGTCCTGGAACTCTGTAGACCAGGCTGGCCTTGAGCTCATAGAGATCTGCCTGCCTCTGCCCCCCCCCCCCAAGTACTGGGATTAAAAGCGTGTGACATCACTGCCCAGCTTTTCATGAGACACTGTCTTAAAAAACAAACAAAGAAGAAAACTAAATGTTAACAAGTGCTGTGAGCCACAAGCATTGTAGAGTAAAAGTACAGCTGACAGATCTACAGACAGAGCCTCCAGAGTGTGATCTGGTGGCAAACCCAATCTGCAGCGCGTCGGGAACACTTGTTTTTTGGATAGTCACTGTCAGTTCTGTAAAATCTTGTGACGCCTTGGCTCTTCTCCCGTCCATAATGGGATTCATTCCAAAATACCACAGCAGTGTATAGATTATTCCTTGAGATAACTTCCTTCTGTACTGGCCCTCATTGTGGGGCACCGGTTTGAAAGCATTCACTCAGCCAAACCTTTGTTCTCATAGTCAAATCTACATAAAGCTAGTCCTCTCCAATTATGCTTACCTACAGAAATTACTGACATGAAAGGAGCCCTGAGTAGGAGGCGCTGATTAGGAGAGGCAGTATGTCTGCTCTTACTGATAAACAGGTCTGGATGGCTCTGAATTCTCTGCCAACTCAGGAGAGTGTAACCTACTGATCTTTGCTCTTCCCTAACCAGCTATTAATATCTGTACTTACCTTCACCTTTCACTTGACACAAGGTCTTAGTCTAGGAAATTAACTGATCCTTTACCCATAAAATATACAGGGAAAAAAGCTTAGGTTGCTAAACCAGCCCCAGAGAAAGAAATTCCTTCTCACCTGGGTGCCAGTGGATACAGCACTCTGATACTTAGCCTGTCTCAATCCTAATCCTAATCCTCTCAGTGTCTGCGGGGGAACATCACAGTTGCTCTTTCTGAGACACAAGGTACCTACCTTGTCAGTCTTTTATCCATCCTGTTAGCCCTAAGAAGTGCATGCTTGGTATCATTGTTATTAACTATGTCTGTGTGGGTATATAAACTGGAAACCTTGCAGGATGGGTAGAACAGCGAGGACATCGAGAGAGCATTAGAGAGAGCATTAGAGAGAGCATAGTAAGGACAAATGGGGACATGATAAAAATACTGACATGAGCGAATTTATTTTATTTACCCACAGACCTTATTAGTCAGGTTTTCGCCTGTTATAGCAATCCTTCTGCATCCTAAGAAGTTTAGTGAGACTTAATCCCAACAGAAACCTTGATAAATAGGACGTAAGCAACTGGACTTCACAGGAAGTGCTAATCAGTTTGTAAAGTGGTGCAACTTGGAGAAACTGTCATTCTGTTTAAAAGTGATGCTGCCAATCCTAAACCACGTGGTAAAAGGAAAGAACCAACTCTTACAAGTTGTCCCTGACTTACGACTTACACACATACACACATGTGAGTGTAGGGGCTGGAGAGATGGCTCAGTGTCTAAGAGCTTCCTGCTCTTGTGGAAGACCCAACTTCAGTTTCTAGAACCTATGTCAGGTGGCTCACAAACATCTGTAGCTCCAGCTACAGGGAGGGATCTGATGCCTCTGGTTTCTGCCAGGACTCACACAATCACACACAACCTCCCTCCCTCTCTCTCTCTCTTAATTTAAAATACAATAAAAATAAATTTGATAAAAAAATTAAAAAAAAATTTCTAATGTCTTAAAGTAAAACATCTAACCTATGTTCTGACAGTTCTATATGAAAAAAAAAAATAGGGGATGGAAAGATGACTTAATGGCTAAAAACTTGGGTCCAGCTCCCAACACTCACATGGTGACTCACAACCATCTGTCATCTACTTACAGGGGCTCCACCTCCCTCTGCCCTCTTCAGGCATTGTACACACATGGCATACTCGCATACATGCAGGCAAAACACACACATGTAAAAAATAATTTAAAAATCTTCTTTGAAATAAAAGAAAAGTAATACAGGTTTCTGCTCCCCTCACTCTCCTTTTGAGACCTGGCCTCATTGTGCAGTCCAGGACAGCTATTCCTATTCCTTCTGCCTCTCAAGGGCTGAGACTACACTGTCAGGCCTAGCTCGCCACAAGAAAACAAAACGTATGCAAGTGTGGCTATAGCACTTTTGCTCTTGGAGCAAAGCATGGAAATGGCCCAAATGCCCACCCGTAAATACAGAAGTAAGTGTGGTGTTCGTGTGCAACGCAATGATGCTTAGCAACAAGGGGGAGTGACTCCTGCTTCGGGCTGCTTCCTCTGTAGCTCTGGCGGTAGAAGTCAGTTCAGGATCCATCCTTGGCTACATAACAAATTTGAGGGCAGCTTGGGAGACTTGAGAACCTGGCCTAAAGCAAAGGCCATGGGCAGGGAGGGACCTGAGAAAATTCTTAGGGAGACAGAATGTTCTGTATCTTGATAAGGTATGGGTTGTTCTGGCAGATTAATTCGTCAAATCTGGACTTGAACCTGAACTTGAACTTGAATCTTTATATTTGTTGTTTATGGACTTGGAGATCAGAGGTAGCTGGCCAGGGTTCAAATCTGCTGTCCCTCTTTGCTTCCTGGGTTGGCCACCACCTGCCTGTGATCCAGGATAAATTTCCTAATTTCTCCAGTGCAGACCATCTCTCTGTTGTTTCTGTAAGGTTTGAAGTGAGGTTGTGGGAAACCAGTCTAGAAGAGCTAGTTCTAGTTCCAGGACAGGAACCAAAAGGCTACAGAGAAGCCCTGTCTCGAAAAACCAAAAAAAAAAAAAAAAAAAAAAAAAAAAAGGCAGATTCTGTTTCACACAAGGTTTTACTAGGCTTTTTAAAAGATTTATTTATTTATTATATATGCAGTGTTATACTGTATATATGTATATACAGTGTTATGCCTGCAGGCAAGAAGAGAGCACCAGATCTCATTACAGCTGGTTGTGAGCTACCCTGTAGTTGCTGGGAATTGAACTTAGGACCCCTGGAAGAACAGCAGTACTCTTAATCTCTGAGCCATCTCTCCAGCCCCCAGGAGATTTAGTCTTAATTCTGGTAAATATGCGTCCCTGTTCCACACATCCAGAATTTACTACAAAGGTTTCATGTTGGATGAAGCTAATGGGGGAACTCACATGGAGATGTGTATCCCCAGGCTTGATATCTCAGGGTACTGTGTTTGATAGCATCATGGCTACCTAGCCAGCAACGTACACAGGATACTCTGAGGCACCTGGCAGCCAAGCCAAGGCTCCGTACCCCATTTGGAAGGACAGCCAGGTGACATACGCCAGCATTCAGCTGCAGCGGTAGCCTCCTGTCTTCCTCTGAAGTAGTTTATATACCGGGAGAAAGAGTAGTCATTTGACAAAATAATTACAGTGTGTATTGTTTCTCTGCAGGAACTGTAAGACTGACCAGTTTGGCATGTGGGAATCAGCACATCTGGGCCTGTGACTCCAAGGGTGGAGTTTACTTTCGTGTTGGAACCCAGCCTCTGAATCCCAGTCTGATGCTTCCGGCCTGGATCATGATTGAGCCACCTGTCCAGGTAAGCAAAGCCAGCTGGACAGAACTCGCTTTTATTAAGAGGGAAGCTGTTAGGATGCCTCCCGGGGCATATGGAGAGGTGTCAGTACTCTGGTCACTTGACAGTCCACGCTTGGAATTTGGTATTTGTTAAGTTTATAGCTAAACAGGTTATTCAAGATTATCTGAACCAGCACAAGTTTTTTTTTTCCTTCTAAAATAAATATATTTGATTTCTCACCAAATGAAAATTACCCTTTAAAAAAAAATTAAACACTGTTCAGAATACAAAGAAGAAAGTAAAATTTACATAAAGTGTTACCATGGAGATAATCTGTTCTCAGTGGGTTTTGTTGTTTTCCCTAGCAATACTAGAGACTGAACCTAGGGCTCACAAATGCCAAGCACTCTACCCTGACCTGCAGCCGTGGTCCTGTTATTAGTGTTCAGTGAGTGCCTTCCCTAGCCTTTAGAAGTTTTGTTTCCCAGGTTAGTGGAGCGTTGCCTATCATGTGTGGAGATTTCCCAAACCTACTGCCCGGTTCCTGTGGATTTCAGGTTATAGTGTGTTCTCACGTGGTTGTTTGTCAGGTTATAGTGTATTCTTGCATGGTTGTTTTGTCAGGTTATAGTGTGTTCTCACGTGGTTGTTTGTCAGGTTATAGTGTGTTCTCACGTGGTTGTTTGTTAGTTGCTCCCAAAGACCTCAATAGGCTTGGTTTATGTACTAGATATGTTTCTCTTAAACTATGTAGGAGAGATAGCTCAGCAGTTAAGATCACTGACTGTTCTGCTAGAGGACAGGGGCCTCAACGTCCAGCATCCACATGGTGACCCACTAACCACCCCTGACTCCAGTTTAAGGTGATCCAACATCCTCTTCTGGCCTTGGTGGGCATCAGGCACACATGTGATGCATAGACATACATGCAGACAAAACACTTTATATACATAAAAACACAAACATAGGCCAGGCAGTGGTAGCCCACACTTTTAATCCCAGCACTCAGAAGGCAGAGGCAGGTGGATATCTCGAGGCCAGCCTGGTCTACAGAGTGAGTTCCAGGACAGCCAGGGATACACAGAAAAACAAACAGAAAAAAGCCTTTATGCGAGGGGCCATAACATCTCCAGAGTTATTTTCTCAGACTTCTGTGAGTTTACAGGGACTTTTCCTGTCTCTGCCTCCCATCTCTGGAGAGCTAGGATTAGGGATGCATATAACCACCTCTGACTGTGTGGGCTCTGAGGTCCAAAAAGTTAGTCAACTTCATCATTCTTTCAAAACACCCTCTTTGGTTTTATTGATATTCTATATTTTCCGGTGCTTTATGTATTGCTATTCTAACTTTTCTCGTTTCTTCCTCTCATTCTGTGTACAGTGCTTTGCTTCATATTGATGTCCACTGATAGCTCTGAACTGTATTTATTACAGTTGTACATTTTTGAAGCCCCATGATCACAGTGGGCTGTATGTAGGCTTTGGCACATAGCAGTGTCTTAATAAGTAAAGAACTAGACTGCACGTTATGGTGGCAAAGACCCTGTCCTTAGCCTCTGCCACAGGAACCTCTCTGCTTGCTGGACAGCATGAACAACAGTGTTGCAGGAAGGACTGTGTCAAGTCACAGACTTCTGCTTCTGTCTCCATCTAGACTCTGCAGTAACCTAAAGAAAGCAAAACTAAAATGGAGACGAGAGCTTTAACATCAGTGACTGTAGTGATGGACAGCTGGACCCAGGAAAACCCCAGAATAGAATAAAGTTACCTGAAAGAACTTTAAAACTGTGCTGAGTAAAGCAGACTGTTAATGGCTGTAAAGCACGCACCCTTCAGTAGCTCTGCTGAGCTGAGCTGCATTTTCTCATTTTGTACACTCTACTGTGTTGTAGAAGGAATTCATTATGCCTGGGAATTTGGAACTACAAATGCTTTCTCATTTGTTCCTAGGGGAAGCTTTGTTTGTGTGTTACCCTTCACACTGCACCTTTCCAGGAAGTGCCCTATCCTTAATCCTGCTTTTGTCCCAAGAAGCAGAAGCCAGAGGGGTTCCATCTTTATAAGGAAGTGGTTTTGCTTAGAGCAGTTTAGCAGCCTGCCCAGTATCACAACCCTGCTATATGAGGCCGACTATAGTGGACCCAGTCCTGCTCTTGCTAACTGCCCCAGCAAGGCTTCTTGTGGACTCTAGGACTATGTGGTTTCTAAGGTTAGAGGCAACAATGAGCTATTACCGCTGGTCTCCTTGTACCAACCTAAATACTTTAAGCATGTGTGTCCTCTTTCATGACAACCCAAAAAAGCAGTTACTTCTGTCCTTTTCTCCCTCTCCAGCCTCCCACCCCACAACCCCCCCCCCACCAACCCCCTTCAGCCAGTGGGGCCTGGGACCCCCAAGTGCCCGAGGGTCCCCCCCCCCTGCATCCCCCACCCACCCTCACCAGCTCCCAGCCTGCCCGCTGCTCCCACCACCACCGCAGGCCACCCCTGAGCCCCGCACCTCAACCTCAGCCCTGCCTGGGATCAGCTGGAGCCCGGTAGTGCCCCCTTCTCCTTTATGTTTGGGTTGGGTTTTTTTTTTTTTTTTTTTTTTTTTTTTTTAAGACAGGGGCCATATCATTTAGACTAATCTCAGATTTACTGTGTAGCCAAAGATATGTTTGACTCCTGGTCCTCCAGCTTCTGTCTCCTGAGTGGTGAGATTATAGGTTTATACCACCCAGCTTGGGTAAGGTTGACCTTGACCTTGGTGTGTCTTCCTGCTCCAGTCTTCCAGGTGCCGAGCAGACAGAGAAGAGAGTCCAGCTCAAAATGATTCAGGAAGTTGCCAAAGGCCTTATCTCTAGTAGGTGGTGTAGGGTTGCCCTAGGCCTTTGGCCCAAGATGGAGTCACCTAAAACACCAAGATTTATGATTCATGTGGGACTCAGCCCTGTTGGGAAAATGGAAACTGAACTTTCTCCAGTTCCCAGAAGTTTGCTGACTGCTTGTCTTAGCAGAACAGCCTAACTATGGCCTCCTGCTGTTCTAAAGGCCAGAGCTACACACACACACACACACACACACACACACACACACACTTGGCTTATTGCAATCCCCTTTGCCTGCAGCAATTCCTTCTTCCTTAATGCTCTCCAACCACACTCCCGCCCAACTGAAAACACCCTGTAACTCTAAAACCCAAACTCCTCCTGGGGACAGCCCAGCAGTTCATACCCTGAGTAAAGCTTCAGTAGGTTCTGGTTCTCTCTCTAAGCCATGCAAGTGGCAGAGCTAGAGTGCAGACTTGGGTGACTGCCACCGGATTTGGTTCCTTCCTGTGGCTCTAGGGTCCTAGACCTATGCTGGGACACTGACTCCAGGCGCTGTGAGGGTGGCCATGATGCTCCCTTGAGCTCACTGACATCACTCACAGGTTAGTGATGAAGCCAACAGTTCGCAGTGAGAGGGATGGTGAGGATTCAGTAAAAAGATCCAATAGTCAGGAAGATTTTTCTGAATCTAAACTTTAGGAATTATGTAGAAGATCCATACCAGACTGTAACTGACCTGTGGTGCCTCTGCACCTCTGCTCAGGCTTCGTTTCTGGTGAAGGACGTCCTCAGAGCTGAGCAGAGGAGGAGCCACCAAGGGTGCCCAGGCACATGGAGTGAGCAACAAAGCCTCTCCAGTTAGCAGCAGCTCCTCTATTTTTGTTTCTTGGTCTTTGGTAAAACCTCCCTCTTATAATGGTTTTGGGGTGAAGTTTTTTACAAAGTATTCAAAACAAATGAGTCAGTTTTCAGACTTGCTAGTGTTTGGGAGGCCTTGGAGGAAATATTTTTAGTTGTATTTAGCAGCTTTCAGAAGTGGAGTTTGCAGGGTTTTCTGTCCATATTCAGGGTGCCTCTAAGGCCAGCACAAGTGATGGTGTGTTCATTGCACTATGGGCTCTGTGGGCTGCATAAAAGAGGAGTCCTCAGTGCTGGAGACATGGCTCAGTGGTTAAGAGCACTGGCTGCTCTTCTGGAGATCCTGAATTCAGTTCCCAGCAACCACATGGTGACTCACAATCCTCTTCTGACAAAACCTGACATGCAGATAGAACACTTATATACAATAGATAGATAGATAGATAGATAGATAGATAGATAGATAGATAGATAGATAGATAGATAGAAGTCCTCAGGTACTTACATCCCACTTGAGGCTACGTCTTCTTCCAGGAGAACCCTACTTAGCATTCGTTGGGTCACTCTGAGCAGGTGCTGCTTCTTCCTGATTCATCTCCATTGCTCAGCTGCGGAGCCATCTGCCCCGAGTCGTCTCTGCTACATAGTGTCCTTACTGGACACCCAGTGTTACTTTACTCTGCCTAGACTGTGGAGACTTGGCCTAGCCAAGTGAACTGTATAACACAACCTCCATAGAGCTGGCAAGTAGCCAGACTAACATGTAAAATGCTACTTACATTTCACTGCTGTTACTATGTTGTGGTTCTCTGGAGTTTCATTGTGCTGTGCTGGTCTGTGAACATGGGAGGTCTTCCCATCTTCCAGTTCTTTCCTTAGTGTTGTAATGTTTTCATTGCAGAGGTCTCTTACCTCCTTGGGTAGTTCAGTTCATTTCAGTTTTTATATCATCTATTGTCACTTTTTGCTTGTTTTTTGAAGCTATTGTGAGTAGGTCTTTTACACTTTACATACATACACTTTGTGTGTGTGGTATGTGCATTTGTGTGTACATGCATGCACACGCGGAAACCAGACCTCGGCATCTTGTGCCACTCCATAGCCCTCTGCTTTTTTGTTGTTGTTTTGTTTGTTTGAGACAGTATCTCTCACAGGAGCCAACACATAAGCTAGACTAGCTAACCAATGAGCCCTCGGGGTCAGTCTGCTTCTCTGCTGTACCCTAGCACTGGGTTAGAGATGCATGCTGCCATGCCCAGCTTTCCCCTGGTGCTGGGGATCTGAATTCACATCTTTATGCTTGTGGAAAGTGCCTCACTAACTGAGCCAGCGACCTGTTCCCCCGATTTT